TTTTTAATTCATAAAATTTATCACAAAATTCCGGATTTCTTATATAAATATGAATGAAATCAAAAATTGTCTTCATGTGGTTTTCTTAGAAAAACCGTTCCAATCTATATTGGGAATGACTGTATATTTTGCTATAATTTTAATACACTTAAATACTAATTGTCAATACTAACCTAAATTAATTTTAATAAGATTTTACAATTACTGTACATCAATAAAACTGGAAATAAAATTTCTTAATGATTTTTAATATTAGTTTAATTTCTAAAACTTAAAAGTACGACTAAATGTGCATTCATTTTTAAATTACAAATCTATTATAAATAAACATTACACGTATATTTAATGAAAATAAAATAGAAACATATATTTTACATAGAATTAATTTTAATTAAAACATGCATGTTACAATATGTTTTAATGTAGTGTCGTTTGTATGAGTACTACAGCGTAGGACACAATGAAAGTGAGACACGATATGAATGTTTTGGTGTCCACTCTATACGTATTCATTGCCCACAAACACAGTCTGCCCTCAAAACCACGTATTTGTGTCAACACTAGTCGGTCACCACTGGACTCCTTAACGGCATCCAAATCCTCTAACTTATCGATTAATTTACGAAAACCTTTCGGGATTTTATTACATACCAAACACATTAACAATAGCATTGATAGGGACTGTATTAGTGAACATAGGGGTCGCCATAGACTCCGATCTAACTGTAAAGCTATGGTACATATCATGGATGTGCAGACAATTGAGTTAATTAATAGTGAATACATTAAATAAATATGAATTAAGTTATTGAAACATTTTACAGATTTATAAATACTATGAATATTCTTATAAACAATATTGAGATCAATGTGTTTATCATTAATGTTAAGAATATTCTGTAATTCTTGACTTACAGTAAAGGCTTTGTATGTAATTAATGATACGACAGATAGTTGTATATTAATAGATAAATACACCCACAATATATTAAATACAAAATGACCTATATCACTTGCAAGCATAAAATTATAATAATTTTTCAGTATAGCAGCCACTCCGATAGCAAATGCGATTGACCATGATGATTGCCATAATAAAAGGTATAAGCCAATATTACGTTCATATTTTGCTGTAACCCCATTTGAATTATTATCTATTAAGTGTACTAAAATTGAATGACCCTGCACCAATAATAACACACTATCCAGCATGGTGAATATTGAATGTCCAAACGCTCCCACGTTGTACATGATTATGATCATGGCACATTTTGTACAATTTCCATGCTCGTCACTTATTGAATGCACAGTTAACACCAGGGTGACTGTATGATAAACATAGTAAATATTAATTAGTATGATAATTATGTTAATAAATATTTGAAAATATCTAGTCCATTTTTCATTATGGCCAGTACTAGGGTGACTCCAGTAGGTGATGCCGTGTAATTTGTGGTACTTTATTAATGAATATAAGCCGGCTAAATTTGTTGAACACATATTGACTAATGAATTGTTTTTAACAGAATATTCTTATATAACGAATAATATTGTAAACAAAATTGCTTTAATGTTTGCTTTAGTGTCTGATAGTAATACACAAAGCATTTATTTAAACACTGCTTATATGACTATCCAGCATAATAATAATTATATAAAAGCAGGGTATAAATGTGTGTTTTATATATAAATTTCTTAATACAATATATTACAACAGTATTTATAGCTGTTTTTATTAATAAAGTTTATTCATAGTAAACATAATTTAATGTTGAAGTATTATATTAAATAGTCAATTTATAAAAGCAATATACATACAATAGCCTAATAGAAATTGACATATATGTTATTTTATGATATTTACACTAACTCTAAATAATATTATCATGATAATGACGCAAAAATAGTTGATAATTAAATATAATTTATTTTGTATTTATGCAAATTAATTATTTGTGAGTATATTAACTATGTAAGTAATATTTATATTTATTAATTTCCATTTTATGCCAACTTATAATATTTCTATAAAGATTACAATATACTGTATGCCAATAAATAAAAATTAGTTCAGTATTAATAATTATTTATAAATAGATTTAAAATCAAATTGCTAAATTAATAATGAATTTACTAATCAACATGCATAAATATATTATCGGAAAGATACATACAATATAGAAAAACATGTGTTTAATACATGTTTCTAAATACTGGTTTATGCCAATCTATACAATAAATAAATACATAATTACATTGTACTCAATGTATACTAAATATGGACTTAATTTAAACTTAAATATTATATATATTTTGTAACTTCCTTTAATATTAACCAGATATACTACTGTAATCTATATCATACTTATAAACACACAGTATATTATGATTCTTTAGAAGTGAATTTAATTGTTTATAACGTTAAAGATAATTATATTTAGTTATATTTCAGCACAAAATAAATCAAAGATAATTTAATGTTTACAATACAGTACAGTACATACTGTAAAATATTCTTTTATCATGCATAAGTATAAATCATTAATAACATGATCCTACTAGTATATAATTAACTATAATTACACTGATAACGGGTGCATTTTTCAAATTCACAAAATATACTCTAGTACAAGTTCAAGGGTGATATAAAATCACATGTAAAAGTTTAATACATTTTAAAATTTTTTATCATATGACATATCAAAAGGGCTTGGCTAGCTTGTGATACGCACTGCGTTTAGTGCAAATCTAGATTCATAAGAGTATGTAATATGTAAAGGTATTATTAAATTAGCTGAAAAATTTTCATACGAAACTTGTTTAAAATAGATAGTATGATAAAGTAAAATGTTTAGGATTGTTTGGGAAATTACCTTGTAATTAAAATCAAATTACAAACTTTATAGCCCATTATGTTAATGTGAAAGTTTTGTATAAATACAGCGAAGGAAAAATTATTATATTACTTGATTTTATTATTATATTAGAAAAACATTTTATAAGTTTAGTAAGTTAACTAATTAAGCAATTAAAACTTAATTTAATTAGAAAATAATTTTATACAAAATTACAATTATATTTCATTAAATAATAAAATTTATAAATTGTGTTTAATTAACGTATCAAGTTAAAACAAACGGCAAATCAATGCACACAAAACTAACCGCGCTATTCGTGCCCATCGACGCCGTGGGTCACGTGAACGCCGCCATAGGACAGGCAGAGGTACTGATACTCGCGGGACATCGCGTGGTATTCGCGGTCAGCGATCAATGGAGGGGTCGACTCACGAAGTACGGCATCGAAGAGGTATTACTGCACTACGACACGTACGACAATGATAAGGACCCGGCTCGTGAGTGGGCTGACAGGCTACAAGATAATGGCGTTATTAAAAAAGATTCAACCGCAATTGACAATCTAATCAATATGACTGTGAACTTGATGCCATACATGATTGAAAATGCTAAAGTATTGGACACCCTGCTGGCGGGGCTAATACCTAAAATTAAGCCGGATGTCATATTAGTGGATCATGGTTTTGAGTTGACATCGGTGGTCAAGTCTGGTATACCCTGGGTATTGGTTAACAGTTGCAATCCGTTGGTTCATTTTGATTACCCGGAACTGCCACCGCCACTTTCAGGTAATTTATATTTTATAAATATAAACATAATTTTTGTAATTTAAAATAATAATAATTATTAGTATACTTAATTTTTAAACTGTAAACCGATATTTGACTAATTATTAAATGTAGTGTTAAAATTAATAAATTATATTATGGGTCATCTGCCAATGGAGTTTTAATTTTAAACTTTAAATACGTATTTTATAAATGAACTAGTCTAAAACAATAAATTATAAATTTACTTTATCTAAATTACAAACACTTAAATTAAACTATTCAAGATTAAGGTTATTACATTTCTATTTAATAAAATATTTAATTAACGCTAAATATTTTATCATAATCTAGGCCTACCCGCTGTTGGACACAGAGATGAGTGGAAAGCCTTTAGAGCACAGGCAGTGAAAGTTTGTCAACCCATTAGGGATATGATCAACAAATATCTCAATTCAAAGGGCGTTCCGTTACTAAATGACAACAAATTTGTGATGTATATCAATAACTCGAAATACCTTAATATATACGGCTATCCACTGGAGTTAGACTATCAGGATATGAGACCATTGCCACCAAATTGGTATCGGTTTGATAATCTTAAGCGCACAGAAAAAGGTCAGCCGTTTGACATACCGGTGACGTTGAGGGACAGACCGGGAAAGTTGATATATTTCTCGTTAGGATCCATGGGTTCGGTAGACGTGGAGAATATGAAGAGATTAGTGACTATTTTGTCGAAATCTAAGCACAGATTCATTGTATCGAAAGGACCCAAACATACGGAGTATGAGTTACCGGATAACATGTGGGGCGCGGCAACTGTTCCCCAAATACAAGTCCTTTCATTGGTTGACTTAGTTATAACCCATGGAGGGAACAACACTACAACCGAAACCTTTTACTTCGGGAAACCTATGATAGTTATGCCATTACTGGCCGATCAATGGGATAACGCACAGAGAGTTCATGAGAAAGGGTTTGGTATACGACTCGATGCCTACCAGTGCTCTGAGTCTGAGTTATTGACAGCAATTGATAAGCTATTGAATGATAAGAAATTGATTGAGAATCTGAAGACTATATCCAAAAGAATACAATCGGATAATAGTATCGCAAAACTTCCTGAACTTATTGAGAAATTAGTGAATAAACATGATATTAATAATAATTAAAATATATTTATATAATTATTAAACAGTAAATTCTTTTTACAAAATAATTTTATTTAATTTTTATTGTAATTACTAATAATTAATAAATATTTAAAAATAATTGTTTAATAGTTTTTTAAATAACGATTCTTTCAACAATTATAAAATTCCAGTTTATTATTATATTTATTATTTATAGTTTTACATTTTGCCAATAATAAGCAAAATTCAAAAATTATTATATTAATTATTACAATTATTGTCCTTTTATTAATAAATACTATTTTGGTAACATTAATATTTAAAAATTATTTAGTTGGCTGTTAACTAATATAATTATAAATAAGATGTACAATATACTTCCAAAATTTTCCTACCCATTAGAATAAATTAAAAATATATTTAGTAATTTAATTGCAAATATTTTATTAAATTTACAGTTTTAAACTTATTTAAGCATTTTTATATAAAAATTTACATGAACATAGTAAATAAAGTTTACTTGTACTTTCATTTTATTTTTTAATAAATTAATATTGAATAATTAATTATTACAGTATTATAATATATATTTAAAAATTTTATAGTCTGTATTTTAATGTTAGTTCTTTATAAGTGTAACCATACTGCTCGTAAACTATACATTTAACAATTTGAAAATTTTTTAAATTTTTAATAAAATGCAATATATTATCATTAATACTAGCCGTACGAAAACGTAAGCATTTAATAAATGGCAGTTTTAAGAAAATATTTTTAACTAAAGTTTCAGTGACGTATCCGTAAAATAGATCCAATGTTAAATTATTAAAAGGTTTACATACATCATCCCACTCATACGTCATATAACTATCTAGGTAATGATTTCCAATAGCTAAATGATTTAGCTTGTTAAAGTTTTTCCCAATACCATTCATTAGTCTATTTATAAAGTTTCGCGATGTACCATGAAAATTAATTGATAAATTATGTAATCTACTTAATCTCTGTCCTAGTTGCTTTAAGTGTGTATCAATAATCGCGGTAGTTTGTGAGCCATTTTCATACGAAATGACCAAGGTTGTCAATTGTCGTAGCCTGGATAAGTTATTCATCAATATATTAATGGACTCTTCATCGCAATTCTGATCGATAATCACTTCAAGGGTTTTCAAAATATTTCTATAATTATCGCAAAATTCCCGGAATTCCCAGTAAATTTCCGAGGAATATGTAAACCGAAAACTCGTTAACCGTTTAAACCTCACTATATTTACGAGCCATAGATTATTAACAAAATTATCGCAAATACTGATCTCGCGTATATTGACACAGAGCTTGATCCATTTATTAAACACCTTGGCCAAATAGTTATTAAAATTAATGTGAATATGAAGTTTCTCTAAACCTTTGGCGTATGTATCAAAAAATCTATCCAACGTCTGGACACTTATATTAGAATTGCCGGTAATTTTAAAACTTTTCAACCTGGTACAATATTTTATAATTAACTCAATTATTGTGTTGATAAGATAGCACTGGGAGCTAAATATTAATTCAATTACCATGATACTATTTCCACACTTATGAAGCACTTGTTCAACATTTTTAATATTAATTTTATTTATTTCTCTTGAGTTATAACTGTATACGGGCTCAGTATATGTGTAGTCATATTGTGTGGTAAACACATACCGGTGCCACTGTTTGGACAGACATTCATATTTAAATCGGTCCTCAAATGATAGGTAACTCAATAAGTGTTGACACAAATCATCGCCGAAACGGTCGAAACTGTCTTTACTATAAATGTCATACATTTGTCACAAAAATATTTTCACTTTTATTATCAAAAAATTTAAACAGAAATATAATATAATGAAAATAAATAGCATTTACATTTATATAAAAATAACTAGAGCTAAAAACGATTAATAAACGTTGTGGGTAAACTACAGTATTAACGTTATGTTTTCAATATTGATAATGATAAGTTATAGTTTCTAAGCATTGTAACCTTGGCTACCACTACAGGTATAATATAAATGTATAATATTTAATACCTAACAAACTGAGTACAATGTTGTAATTAAATGAATTTTTTTTATAATAGTCAGTGAATCATTTTGTGAGATTACAAACTAGTTAAATATTCAAGTTGTATTTTTTTAAATCTTTTTATTTTAAATTCTTAAATAAATATTTTATAATTTAATGTTAGATTACCGCAGTTGTTTTCTAAATATTTTTTAATTATATAAAATGTAAAATTGCCATTACATATCACTTAAAATAAAACATGTACTAATTTTAGACTCATGTAACACAAAACTATTAATGATAATGTTTATAAATAAAAGTACTCAAAAATATTTTTTAATTGACCATAATTACATTGAAATTGATAATGAGAGTATTTTAAAAATTTATCAAAAGTGCAAGCACATAAAATGAATTACAAGTTATTTTCTACTGTTGGATATAATTAAAGTGAAAGTATAAAAATTATTTTAGCATCATGATTAAAACATAGTTAAAACAGAGTGTATTAAAACAGAAATATGTGTATTAATTGACAATTTTGATTGCAGTGTAATTAAATGAAAATAAAATAATAGTTACTGTTTAATCATCACTATCTTAGTCTTGTTAAGTTTATAGCAAATTATATTTATACTGATACTTTATTAATTTTAAATATAATATTCCAATTGTACAAAGAATCTGAAATATTTTAAATAAATTTAACTTTAATACAAAATTATATGATTAGCAAGCACATACTTTAAATCCTTGAAACTTATTAATACGGAATAATTTCCAACAATAAAATCCATCCCTTTTCTGACCCAACCTTTCCATCAATGATATTAACTATAATTAAAAGGTATATTATAATATTATATTTTAATAAATAAAATTATAAATTTAAGTAAAATGTTGCATACTTTTAATTTATTTTTAATATAAATACGCCCACTAAGAATTAAATATATATTAACATTTTTGTACGATATTATTAATTGTTTATTAAGTAGCGATGAATAATGTATGATATACAATAAAGTTAGTAAGTATTGAACAAACACAATAAATATAACAAGCCTTGTTAAAATAATTATTTTTGAAAATATCGCCACAAATAATAAAAATATAATGCATAAGCCAATTAATATCCAATAGATAGTTAAGTATTTTGACCAATAGTTTTTATTATACTATACAAATGTTTTCAAATATATGCTGGGTGTTACCTTTAGGTTTCCTAGATTTTGTTATAAATACTTGATTGTGTGATTGAATTTGTAATTTAAATTACTTATAATTACTTATTATAATTACTTTAAATTATTGTATAATTTATTAAACAATGTAATACAAAATACTATAAATGCAATGATTTATGTTATGTATCATTACCTTGAAAATTACATCTCATTTTATGAACGTTTGCAAATAAATAATTAAATTATTTTTTATTATTATAATGGTAAATTTAAAATTAATATCTTGTTTTACTTTCAGTGAACTAGCTACAAACAGAATATACAGTACAGTACTACTATATAATGAATGAATTAAATCACACATTGGCTAATGTCAAGTACATGGACTAAACAAACAGCTAATTAATTACATTTCACATAAAAAACCTTATTCAAAAATGCACTAAAAATTTTAGGTTTACACTCATGAGACACAAAATCATTAACGATATTATAAACAAATAAATGTACAAAAAATACTCTGTTAATTGACCATAATTACATTGACATTGAGAATAGGTGCATTTTTCAAAATTAATTTTAGTGAATGTTTAGTATTATATCTTAAAATAAATCACAAACTAGTTTGCATTCATGAAAATCATTAAGGTGAGAGTATAATAATTATTTAACTATCATCATCATTAAGATAAATCAATTAATATACAGTATGTAAGGAATTATGAATAAGCCTGAAAATTACATTAAACTAGCTGAATTCATTAATAGTTTTTATATAAATATATAAGACTTTATGTAAAAATATTTATTATGTGAATAAATTTCACCCTGTGTGTGTACCTTATAACTTACTGAAGTACTTTCCATAATAACATCAAACTTATTAAATACTTTTTTATTTTACTTCATACTAGTACTACTTCACATATAATTAAATTTAATAATGCACACAAAACTGACCGTGCTATTCGTGCCCATTGACGCCGTGGGTCACGTGAGTGCCGCCATAGGACAGGCAGAGGTACTGATACTCGCGGGATATCGCGTGGTATTCGCGGTCAGCGATCAATGGAGGGGTCGACTCACGAAGTATGGCATCCGAGAGGTGTTACTACACTACGATAGTCAGCAAAGTGAAAAGGACCCGGCTATGGAGTGGGCTGAAAGGTTTCAATCAGACGGTGTTATTAAAAAGGGTGCCAGTCCCATTGAGAATATGATCAATATAACAGTAAACTCGATACCTTATTTAATGGAACAAGCTAAAAAGTTGGACATCATGTTGGAAAAGTTATTGCCTAGTATAAATCCGGATGTAATATTTTTGGATCAGGGTTTTGAGTTGCCATCGGTGGTCAAGTCGGGCATACCCTGGGTACTGGTCAACAGTTGCAATCCCTTAATTCATTTCGAGTACCCTGAGCTACCACCGCCTACTTCAGGTAATTATCATAAAAAAAATAATTTTTAGAAATATTTTTACTTATATAAAAATAATGGAAATTGCATAATAAGTTATTACAATGAATTAAAATATTATTAATAGGAAACTGTATATCAATATTTTAAATACTATTAAACAAAATTTTAAATGTAAAAATAGATTTATGGTCCTATAACATCATTGAATTTAAAAAATAATCTATATTATACAATCTTAACTTATATAATAATGTATATTTATTTTTATGTTATATATTTAGAATAATTAATTAATTTAAAGTAATTTTAAAATTTTTACAAAATGTAGGCCTACCAGCTGTTGGACACAGCGATGAGTGGAAAGCCTTTAGAGCACAGGCAGAGAGTGTAAGA